TGGTTGAAACGTTCCACGGCTCGAAAGGCGAAGCATAGAACCTCTGCTCAAAAGTCAAGTTGCGTTCTTTTCAAATGTGGAAGCCACATGAGTGTTGTTCAGGTTAGGGTTTGATATAAAAGAATGGCCCCGGAACGCGACGGAGAAAACTAAGCGGTGCCATTCATCATGTTATGCCCCATTACGTGCAAAGCCTCATGCCGCCCGTCGGCAGATTTTGCGCTGATCCAAGTCTGAACACTGAAAATTTCTTCCCAGTCGATTCCGATTGACTTATTTCGAAGAAATTAAATCCAATTTCTGTGTCAAAATCCCCCTTTCTTCATTATTTAATTGACTAAATCCAGCTCAGCTCATCACGCGGTGGTGTTCGATTCGGTTTCAACGGCTCCTGGAAATGCGCTCCGTTCATGTTTCCTCCCATGCGGTGAGAGCTGATTTACATTTCCAATCAACTGGACTGGCACTAGCAGCAGCCGCAGCAGCATCAGCAGGCTGGCAGTTCTCGAGAATTGTCCATCATTAACTCATCACACACGGCCTACTGAACCTTTCCAATTCAGGGTTGCGGCCATTCGTTTGCTATAAAAAAAATGTTTCCCGAATTATGGAATCATTAGATGTTATGATGATGACGAAGAGGTTGTAATGCATGTGTTTGACACATAAAACCAGCCAACTTCGCATTTAGAGAGTCACAATCAGAAATGTTATGATCGGTGAATATTCACTGTTCATGAAGAGTGAATCTTCATTCACTGTCTCAAAACGAAATTGTCAGATTTCATGTGTCAAACACATGCTTTACCATCTCTTCTTGTATCATCATAACATCTTTTGATTTCACAATAAGGAATAAAAAAAATAATACCAAACGAATGGCCGCAACCCTGCTCTCCATACTCGCCGTTCATTTCACCTATATAGGCAAGCGCATAGCCAGGTTTCGAAAAAAAATTGTATTGAAAATTTTGCTGAATGCCATTTCACCGAACGCCATTTCATCGAAAGCCTTTGTGTTGCTGGGTTTAGGGGGGTGTCAGTTGCACACCCCCCCCCCCCCCCCTGGATACGCCTATGTATGTAGGTATATGTGAAACGAAACGCACGCCACCAACGTGTGCACCCAGTAGGGCTACCTTCTTCTTCTCATGTTCCAAGATAATGCGAAGTCTAATTTTTTGATCGGTTGGTTATCTCTTTTTATGGATTTGGTTTTCCTTTGAATAAGAGCGCATTGTCAGTGGATCAGTGGAAGATGCGTGATGTGTGAGTATGGTAATTTTTTTTTTTTCGAACGAATCTTTCGCATTTCCAATTTTGCTTCCCGGGGTGAATCGGTTCAATAGGACTAGGTATAAAAACAAATTCAAAACGCTCCGAGTGGGATCTTTGATTGATCCGTAAATTGATGGGTTTGCGAAAGATAGAGATAGAGACTCTTCTGTTCCAAACGACGAATAACAGCGTTAGGGGCTGAATGGCTTTTAAGATGGTAGATGCGTGATGTTTTTACGAAAAATGATGAAGATATTTTTGAGGTACGATTTTATAAATTGTTGATACTAACGTTAGTAACGGTTATAATCAGATGTTGATTCGAAGTAAGGCAGTCTTGACCATTTGATGATTTTTAGACGCATCGAAACAGCAGAAAATGACAAATGATTGCAGAGAAAAAAAAAACATAAAAATAGACTGAAAATAAATTACGATTACACGGCAAATTAGGTTGACTCAAAGTTGCGATTAGTTCACTCATATTCTTGGAAACGTAGTTAACTCATAGACTGAGTATTACTTTCCGAGCTTTTACAGGAATTTGTTTTCTAATATGAGCAAAATTTCGATGTACATATGAAATTAGTACACGGAAACAGGTTTTCATGTATTTTAACAGAACCAATGATATATATTTGAATTTCACATAGCATTCATGTGATCACATGAGTTCTATATGATAAATCATTTGACACATAAGGCTCATGTGATTTTGTGGTGCAATTCCCAATCATAATATCACATGTTAGTTAAGTGAAATTCAAATGACTATTTTCCATTGGATATGTGATTTATTTTTTGAGTATATACTTCTAGAATGAGTAAATTTTCGTCGATTTTTGTCATATTGGAAAAGATTTATGAAGCTCGGAAAATTTTACTCAGTTTACAAGTAAACTACGTTTGCTAGAGTTTGAGTAATTTAAACTTAAATTTGAGTCGTAGCTATGCACGCCAGCAGCGGGGGAACGAGCACATCTTAGTGAGAGATTCAGCTTTCCACCACCTAAATATGGAGAAATCGACAATCAAAAGAGCAATTTATAAGCTTATTAATACGATTGTTGAAATTCAGTTTCAACGGGAAGTTTCCGATACTATGATTCCCCAGCAAACCATAAGTCGTAAAAGAATGTTCAAATCAAGTCGTATATACACGCATATTAAATTAGAATTGCATATAACGGCAGCCAATATTGCATCAAGTTGTAAAAAGATTACATATAACGATTTTTTATGATTGAAATAAAACTTTTTTCCCTAGTTGCATAAATCACCGTATTTGTTCACACGAAATCATATTGCGAGAAAGTTGATGAACATTACATATAGATACACATGAAGTTATTTTATATTGCATATCTGTCTGTTTTTATTTATTTGATTGTGGAATCATTGTTCAATCTACGATTAAAAACAAATATTCGGAAAATCAGGAAAATCAGGCGGAGTATGAATACATTTGTATTAAAAAATAAGTTGACGCGAATCCGCAAAAGTGGAACGTACAGTCGCTTGCTTCAAAAGCATAAAAAAAGGATCATCCCTCAGATTTCTCAAAATAATTCGGATAAAAATAACGATGTGGACCAACAGCATTATTCTAGTTCATCGATTTCTTCTTCTGCTTCTGTCACCTCTGAAGAATTTAATGAGGCCACTGAAGCTTTGGATAATGAAATGAATACTCACAGTATGGATGATTCGAAAGAAATTTTAGAAGATATAGTTGAAAATGAACGATACCAAGGTAAAACCAAATTTTACTAAAAGTAATTTAACGATTTAAAAAAAAACTGTTCTTTCATTCTTAGGATCACTTCAATCTGAAATCCGGAAATGGGCTTCGCAATATCAAATATCGCAAGCAGCTTTGAAATCGTTGATTGGTGTGCTCAATACTCACTTGCAGGTGGATCTACCAAAAGATCCCCGCACTTTTATGAGAACCCCTAGAACTTTGGAAATCATAACCATGAAAAACTATGGTAAATACTGGCACCATGGCTTGGAACGTGGCCTACAAAAGCGCTTGGAGCATGTTGCTGTGGATATGAATGTATCCCTTAACATCAACATTGATGGTCTTCCCATATATAAGAGCAGTGCCAATCATTTTTGGCCAATTCTTGTGAATATCCATGAGTTATCACACATTTCTCCAATCATCGTTGGTATTTACTATGGAGCAAGCAAACCAAAAGATGCCAATGAATTTTTATCTCCTTTCATCAATGAGCTTACATCAGTTCTTAATTCAGGTGTGATAATTAATACTCACAAAGTTTCCGTAAAAATTCGAGCGTTTATATGTGATTCTCCCGCTCGGGCCTTTATTAAGTGTGTAACAAACTATAACGGCAAGTTTGGATGCCTGAAGTGTACGACGAAAGGAAAATATTCCCATGAGACAAGAACCATGATCTTCCCAGAAGTGAATGCAGAGCTACGGACTAATCAAATGTTTCGAGAGAATAAATACCCAGAGCACCAACGTGCCGTGTCTCTACTTACGGAACTGCCGATAGACATGATAGATGATGTCATTGTAGGAGATGCGTTACATTTATTAGAGTTAGGCATTATGCGGAAGCTGATTAATTCTTGGCGTACTGGATGCATGACGAAACGAGCGAAATGGAGCGCTTACGGAAAACAGGTTATCTCTGAATATTTGGTTGATTTAAGGTTCCCTGTAGAGATTCACCGACGTATGCGTTCGTTGGAACATATTTCACTTTGGAAAGGGTTGGAATATCGAATTTTTTTGAACTATGTAGGAGTTGTGCTTCTAAAAGATCATCTACCACCTAAGTATTATGAACATTTTTTATTATTGTTTTGCGCAGTCCGTATTTGTTCTGTGGAAAGATACAAATCATTTTTACCAATCGCGAGAATGCTCTTAATTGAATTTATAAATGATTACAAGATACTGTATGGTACGGAGTTTATCACAAGTAATGTACATAATCTTTGCCATATTGTAGACGAAGTGGAAAAATTTGGAACATTAATATCTCTTTCCGCATATCCTTTCGAAAATTGCCTACATTCATTGAAAAAGCTGGTGAAACCCGGTCCTAATCCGTTAGCTCAAATAGCCAACCGAATAACAGAAGCTGAATGTAGTGAAAAATCATCAAAATTACAGCATTTCTCCAAACTTACTTTAATCAATGTCATAAAAAACGAAAAAGTATGTAAAATTACCTTTCCAGAATTTATTTTGACAAACAAGTTTACCAACAAATGGTTTCTCACAAATACATTAGAATTAGTTGGAATGACAGATGTTCATGAAGATGAAGATGAAGTATTAATCAAAGGACAACATTTGTTGGAAATGGAAAATTTCTTCCCAAAACCAATGGATTCTTCTTTTCTTCATGTATTCAGCTCAAAACTTGTGAAAGAAAATTTTTCAAATGCTTATTTCTACAGACCTGATTTGATTTTATGTAAAATGGTTCCTATCAACCGTAAAGATAAAACTGTATTCATACCACTTATGCATACAATGGCAAATTTCATCTGAAAATGGTTATAAAATAACAGATAATACCTAATGTGAGCATTATATCAAGTAATAAAACTAAGAAAGCAGTTTATTTGTTTAAGAATCCAATTCAACAATTTTTCATTTAAAAAATAAAAAGAAATGTAAAAAAATCATTGATAGTCACGACCGTAACTTTAATCCTTCATTCCGTGATCAATCATTCAGAAGAACCATCACTGTTGCCTGTAGCTTGGAAGTCTCCATCATTGCCTTCAGATGTATCAGTGTCGTTCGGTTGATGAATTGACTCTGTGTTCTCAAAGTCTTCCATATCCTCACCATCAGAGCCATTGTCATCAAGTTCGATGTCATCTGTAACACTCATAGCATCTTCATGATGAGGCTTTGACCTTTTAACACCTCGCTTAGTACGACAAGATGACTTTCGCAGCATTTTGTTAGCAGATCGTGTCTTAGCATGTCTAAATAAGCGCGTTTTACAAAACTTCTCCAACTGCTGTTTTGTATATGTGGGGTCACCAATCTGAATAAGTTTTAAAAGCAGTTCCGTGACGTTTCCAAATTCACGGAAGCCTCGTTTGGATTTATGTCCTCTGTTCACACCTGTCCAAGTAAATCGATTCCAAAATTGTCTAGTGAATAGACAATCTGCAATGACGTAAAACGCGTTATCTCCTTTTTCCACGTACGAATTAGGAACAATAATTCGGGAGAAAAATTCCATCTGGAAAAAAAGATATAATATTTTAAATTATGATACATTTGAATTCTTGAATAATTTATGTAACGGTTTATTGGAGTACTCACATATTTCATTTGAAGAGCGTCATTTGTCAACTCAGCATTCCAATCGGTAACATGCTTCTCAGTATCAACAGGTGATCGTAACTCGATAACTGTGTCGTCTTTGGATGCCGTTTTATTTAATACCTCCGTCATGGCTGCTAGACGAGCAAAATTAGTCGCAAAACTTCTATCGACAGCTGCAGTTACCGCACGTTCTACTATGTTTTCGATGTGTATGTCAAGATAGCTCCGCATTGCATTGACTGCATCGAAAATATTTTGTTTAATAAGTGCATCTAGGTCCGTTGCAGTTTCAACTTGATCGGTATCCTCACCTAAAAGGATATTTCATTATTTGTATTGTATTTTTATTGACAATGATTATAATAAAGCTGATAATCAATATTAAATTAATATAAAAACTCAAATACCTTCCACATCCATATTCTTGGTATAAGCCTCAAAGTGAATGTTCTCTTCAGGAACATTTGGCGCAAATGATCGATAATCTGCAAAATGCATGCAATCAATAAATTTAATTCGGTACTAAGGCTGTGTTCCATTTTAAAAATTTTCACTTAAATTTGACACATTAAAAATAAATTAATCAGTTATTGATCGGTCGATTTTCGAGAAGGTGTCTGTCAAAATTATTTTTTTGTCTGTCAAAAATATGCAAACTCACCAAATGGAACACATGAATCCAAAACACCAATAATGTCATTTAAATTTGTTAACTTCAACAAAGCAACCACAATTTTTTTTTTCAGTGTCAAAATTATCATTGAAGTTTTTACCTGGAAGGGAACTAGTAGTTTCCAGCGACTTCAACTGGATCTGTTGAAGCATGAAATCCTCCGGCATACGTAGTATTGGTTCCTGGACAACGTTTGATGTTGATGACTGCTGCACAATTTGAACTGCTCTCGCTATTTCCGCAGATGTCTGGGCAATCGTTGTGGTTGTGGCAGATGGTTGAAGAAATGATTGGAAATCATCCCTTGGAGCTGTCACATCCGGCCGAATATTGATCACCGGTTCCATTGGCTGTGGAGGACGGATTAGATTTTCCGGTGGCGTATCAGGGCGAATATTGATGACTGGTTCCAATGGCTGTGGTGGACGGACCAGTTTTTCCGGTGGCTCAACCGATAGTGCTTTAACTTTCTGAAACGAGCTTCGGGAACTGCAAGCTTGTTTCTCTTTGCCAACGATTGCTGAAAATAGTCACGTTAATTTATAATTGAACCATTTAAATGAAAACATACCTTTACAAAGTGAGTTGTAATCGTTCCGTTTTTCCGCTGGTTTCTTTTTTTTTGCAGATTTCAGTTGCTTTTTTTTTGCTTCAAAATCCGACACGTCTTTTTTTGACAGTTCTTCCACAGAAGCTTCCGCCGCTTGGAAGCTGCGGAATTTTCGTGTTACGATAACTGGTACGGATTTGGTTGCGCCTTTAAAAATCGTCCCTTCCTTCCGCATCTTATCGATCTTCTCGTTGTTCAATGACTTTGGCCACATTAGGAACTCCTTTTGTATCCAGCTCATGGGTACTGCCAGAACCTGAAATCGACCGTTTTCTATGAACTGCGCAACTCCGTACATCTGAAAGTTTTGTTTTTGTTTTTAGTTTATTTAAGAGGATAAAGTTTTAATTCAACTTACTGTGATTAATCGTCGAGAAGAAGTAGCTGTTCGATGCGATGAGGACAGTGTAGTGGAAAACGAATGTTTATTTACATTTTCCGATCACTACTGATGAAGTGCCAGAGTAGCCAGTTTTGTTATTTTGATATCATTCTTAAAGTTTATAATGTAACACATTTCCCTTTACATAAGAGTGAAGTGAATTGCAATAATCAACCAAAACTGTTTTTTATTGAAACTGAAATTTCTTATCACATAATAATCTATGAAAATGGAGTAATAATTGGTGTGACGAATTTGTACTATTGCTAGTATCCACTGGTTTGGGAACATTGATTAAAAAGCATTTTGCTGCTGTTCCTTAATCATTTAGCGGTCCATTTAATGATCGTAGCAGTGTCCTAATAATCACATATGTTATGATGTAATTGGGAATGCATCGTATTTCGATCAAAACAATGTCGTATAGCGTTACTGGCATATAAAATTATAATAAACTCAACAACAGTCTTATAAGATGTTGAACTTAATCTAGAATCTAATGATTTTGTAAGATAGACAAAAATTCGTTGATTGACCAATATGTATATGGACTAATGGATAAGTAGCTGCCATGCAGATATGAAGACACCAGGATCGAGGCTAATGTAACCAGGTATGCGTTGAGTTATTTAAAAAGTATGTGTTCAAACCAATTATCTTGTAGATCATTAAAAAAATCTCGAATTTTCAGTAATATGTAATATAAAAAAAAATCCATATCATTTGATTTATACCCGCAGGATTTTTTTTTTCGTAAAAGTATGGATGCAAATGAACTATCAATGCATTGCGGTTTAACCATGATTATATATATACATACATATATACATACACATATACATCTGCGGATATGTTTTTTAACATATTATATAATGTGCACAGTAACTTGAAAAGTTATATAAGCTTTGATATATAATTGCATTATGCACGTTATGTAATACAAGACGAAAAATAACAGATTGCGTAATCATTCTAATGAAATCATAAGACATCTTTTATATGATGTTTGCGCTAAATACTATTTGTACGTATATGGCCTCCACTTTTGTACGCATATAAGGAATTCATGCATCTTGTACGATGCTTTTATATTGTATAAGGCTACAGCTAACTGAATTGCAACTGAGTAATGTTAACAAAATTGTTTGCTGGGTCCCGACCGGAAGCGAATAAAAAACGTATAATCCGGTGATAGCGAGAATCAACTTCCAGTTGAAACTGAATTTCAACATCATATAATTTCGTTTAGTTTCCTTTTAGTACAATTTCGGGTGTTGTCTAGCGTGATGCCGTCGAAGTGTTTAGTTGTAAGCCCGATACCAGTGCCTACGGGTTTCACGGAGTAGAATGTATGGTGTTCAATGATAGGTTTAGGTTACCTAATTCAGTGTGTAGATATCAGATAAACCTAGTAGTGACTAATCACATTAGCTTTAAGTTCAACTATTATTAAGTTCACTAGATTACTAGATAATTTTAAGAATAACGAGAGCGATGAATTTACTTTTTCACCTGGTTGCTTTGTTCTCGGTTGTTTTTCTCTTCTATACTCACCCGGTGTGACAGATCGATATCTGCCACTCCGCTGTTACTTCGCTGCCGAACCCACTGCAGGGGTGTTTCGACACAAGTAGGTTCAAACGGTAGGTGTGCTCAGGCCAGTGTGGCCAACACTCCCCCTTAGGCTACGACAAAACCCCTGGTTGGCTTACTCTCCGTCGCACCGGACGTCTAATACAGCCAGCTTCGTTGCCGAACCTGGTCATCTTGGCTGACTTTGGTGCTGATAACTTTCCCCTTCGGCCAACAGTTGCGGGGCATGTTGGAATCGGCGATAACTACAATATCGCCCACGGCGATCGGTTTTGTGTAACGAAACCATTTGGTGCGGCGAGTGATTTCTGGAAGGTAGTCCGACACCCAACGCTTCCAATATTGGTTTGCTAAAATCTGTGAGGTACACCAATTCTGCTTTACGGCCGCTCGGCTATCATCGAGGCTCGTGATCGGTTTCGAACCGTTGGACGAACCGAGTTGACGGTGTTCTCCACTTCGGTTAGCAGATTGCGGAGTACCTACTTCGTCGGATGGCCTCTTCGACGAACAAACAACCATCAAGTTTTTCTTGACGGTGCGAATCAGTCACTCCCAGCTACCGCCCATGTGTGGCGACAGAGGTGGGTTGAACACCCATTCGATTCCAGAGCTCGTGAATTCTTTCATCAGTTCGTGTTGATTGACTGCTTCGTTGGCTTGCTGGAGTTCCCGATTTGCACCGACGAAGTTCGTGCCGCGGTCGCTGTAAATCTTCTGGGGAGTTCCACGTCGTGCAATGAAGTTGCGGATCGCCATAATGCAGGAGCTTGTGCAAAGTGAATGTACAACTTCTATGTGGATTGCTCGTACGGACAACCTCAATCGGCCCAAAGTAGTCAACTCCTACATGCGTGAATGGCCGCGAGAAAACAGCGAGGTGGGCTAGCGGAAGATCGGCCATGTACGGTGGGCTGGGTGCTGCTTACTGGTTCTTACACCACTGGCAATCCTTTCGTACGCGCTCGTACGTGCGCACAGTGGGGCAGCGAAGCCATTCGTGTGGCCAAAACCTCTAGCGCCGTTGGTTTGCTTTCTACAGCAATACAATGTTCTACAAAGTTGCTCAATACTAAAAGCGCCATCTTTTGAATGTTTCATATTAGTTCATTTTTACGCCACATAGGTGGCGCTCGAGTCTATCTTTTGAACGGAGCATCCTAGCCGAATAGTTTTTGCCGCAAAGTTGTGCAATTTGAGGTGTTGAGAAATCTTGTCCAAGGCATCGAAACTCTATGACTCATATTAAGCGAGATATCGGGCAATTAGGAAAACTAACCTCTAAAATTGCGTTTTTTCCTTTTTTTCACCTATATACGTCAAATGTATAAGTTTTATACTCTGATAATTATCAAAATGGTTTGAATCATCCAATAAATACCCATTACTTTATATATCATGCCTTATTATAAAGTTATTAACACAAATGTCTCAAAAAAGTGATATATAAAAATGTCAATTACTCAAAATATAGCAAAAAGTAGCAGCCAATTTTTTTACAGTGATTAGTGTAGACCTTGCTGGATAAAATAACGACCACAGTTCAACAGGCAACTGCAGGCATTTTCATATAACATCATTTGAATATTGAATATTTGAATATGCCAAACCGACGATAACCGATCGAGGCGATGCCGCTACCAGCAGCCTGTGATCTCGACGAGTACGACGCGCAAAGTTCGAGGTGCAAAACTCGAACGCTGCGCGCTTGACAGGAACCGCCTTCCTACCTTAGCAGCACACTTGTTACTGAACAATTGTGGTTACTTGTGTGAAACTTATTCCAGTCACAATCAAGTTGCTGCAACTTATTTCGATGGAAGTGTGCCGCTTGGGACTGCTGCTGCTGGTGCTACCTGCTTAACCGCCGTCCGAAGCAAAAATGAGTTGAGGCACATTAGCAGTGCTGTTTTATAACTTTTCAGATTCAAGCAGTACGATGTGCAACCAAATGGTACTCGATTATCACGACTGGGTACCTTTATTTCATGAAAACAGTAATAAAATTATCATGTTTTTAATTGTACATTTTTAAACAGTTTTTTGTGAAAAATTGGAAAATCGTTTATCGTGACACCTTATGGGAGTTATTTCCTATCGATTGGTGTATTTGGATTTTAATTTCATCTATAAATGACAAAGTTATAAGCGTTCAAAACCATACACCTTTTCGTGACGGTCGCAATTTTAGATTTTCGATTTGCCTCCAGTACCTTCCCGTAAGACGTAGTCTACGTAAAAAAAAAAACTAATATTGTGGGGTAAAGACTGGAACGCGCAAAAATTGGTCGACAAAAAAAATCGTTTCTTTCAGTCAAAACTCATACCAAAAAAATCTTTTTTTTTTTTTTTTTTTTTAGTTCAATTCATATATTTAAAGGAAAAATGTTCATTTATTCTTTTGGTTTGCCGGATCCGAACTGCCGTCCTTCCGCTAAACCCCTTCCACTAAATTTTGCACAGTGGTCTCATCGACCTTATTCGCCGCCGAACGCCAGTTAGATTTAACTGCTGCTCGTTTTCCACGGATTTATTAGTTTTTTGAGATTCCGTTTGACCAAGGCCCAATACCGTTCGATAGGGTGGAGTTCTGGGCTGTTGGGAGGGTTGGGGTCTTTGGGTACCACAACTACGTTGTTCGCATCGTACCACTTTATTGCATTTTTTACATAGTGGCAACTCGCCAAGTCCAGCCAGAACAGCACGGGTCTATTATGTTGCTTTAGGAATGGTAGCAGCCGCTTTTCCAGGCACTCCTGGACGTAGATCTCTTAATTGATGGTTCCCGTAGTAATGAAAATGCAGCTTTTTAGACCACACGTACATATGGCCTGCCAGACGAGGTATATTTTCGGGAACTTCGATAGTTTGATGGTTTGAAAATTTCAGCCACCTTCCCTTTTCCTGATATAAACCCTTTTCCGGTATAAAACTCCTGTCCCGGAAGCTGCTTGAAATCCGTCGAACTTTGTGAGCAGATTCGTATACAGCTTTCGGGACCGCTGCTCTGCCGACGTGTTTTGTTTGTAATCTCGGTTCGCCACCTTCACCTTCTTAAACGTCGACAACCCGGCTCGTTTCTTGGCCCGCTGCACAGTAGTATGGGAGACATTGAGCTTGCCAGAGACGTCCCGGATGGAGAGGTTAGGATTCCGCTTATAATTCACCACCACTTTCTTCATCGTCCCTACCACGTCCGGATTACGATTACAACCGCTTCCAGGCTTCCTGCCGGTCGACAGACGCTTCCCGAACACTTTTAAAACGTTTGTCACGGTCGA